TTTTTCCCTAAAATATATTTAGGCTACCATAATGTTAGCTTCCTCACAAAATAAGCTCAACCCTCACCACTACTCTCTAAAAACCATAGTGTTGTTTCTTCATTGAGCATACAGCTTCTCAGAAAGTTTCCAATATATGTAACATTTTCCATACATTATTCAAGGTAAGGAGAATTTTAATCACTTTCCTACATATCCTCTAGAGTTTTAAAATGAAGATGTTACTACAACCAAATTTCTATCACAATTCAGGCCATACTTATTTTTTAAAATCTGTGTTCACGGACGAGTGATGTTAAAATACTACTAAGGTGAATGATCCACTCAACTCTCTGCACCTGAGATCCTCCCCACCCAAAAAAGTAAAAAAACAAACAAAACACACCAAAAAAACAAAAAATTAAAAACCTGGGCTTAGAATATCAAATTACTTTAAGTTTACATTTTCCAGAATTTGGAGCCATAATTAAACACTTGATCAAATTAATGCCACTCAAAAACGTTTTAGAAACTGTCATCACATATAAAGATATAGAGATTATTTACATATTTGTCTTTTCTAGCCAGGAACTGACTTATACAGAATATTCATGAAAAACTCTAGTGAAACAGTGGAAATTAGAAAACAAAAAAGAAATTTTAAATCTAAGTGAAAGATGTGTAGAGGAAATAAAAAATGGGGCTGCACACCGGCGGTTTATTGAACCGAGGCCCATCTCTCTTTTGAGCATATACTCTAAGCACCTGCAGGAGGTAGTAACTTTAAAGACTTGACACTTTGGTAGTGTTCATGATTCCAAAATTAAAACACTGCATATTAAAAAACTGATACGTTGTGTTCCAAAGATAACTTAGCATGCTTTAGATAAAAAGCTAATTTTATCTCCAAATGTGGATGCAGCGTGTGTTTGCTAACAAAACAGAATCGGACTCGGTCATTATAGAAGAAAGACTTTCCGGAGTAAAATTTTTCCCCTAAATGATGAACTTGTCCAATTGCAAATTGTTCATCTTCCTTATAGTTCTGGGTCTGAGACCCACGAGCAATTATTAGCTGGCATGTGACAGAGGGCAATTTGTTTAAGGGCTAAGGGAAAGTCTGGAAGCTTTGTTCTAACAACTGCGTAACTGCTGCTTAACAATAATTAAAAAAAAAAAAGGAATCAAGTCTTAAGAATTACATCTGCAAGAGCTCGATTTACTCACTGAAAGGTCTTCGGAGTCTCGTGTGTTAAGGAAATAAAAAGAACAGAGCAACCTGGAAAGGAAAAAGAATAGCCCCGCACACACAGCTTGGAAACAATTGTTCGCTTTGCGGAGCCTTCCGTAGGGTACCCCCGGCCAAGCCCAGGGAGAGGGGTCTCCGGTCGCCCCGGCCCCGGCCCGGCCGATGCCACCCCCGTCGAGCGGACCCTCACCTTCTCCACCTCCTCCCCAAGCTGGGGCGCCCGCTCGCTTCCCGCTTGGCCCCGGCAGCTGGTGCCCCTGAGCCTGGAAGACAGGAGTCGGGCGCCCGAGCTCCATCCGCCCCCTTCGGCCTAGGAGCCGGACGACCCTTCCCCCGTAGCCAGTTTCAAAGCAAAAGGGGCCGGAGCGGGCGAAAACCGCCATAACCGCCAAAGACCCGACGCTGCGGCTGCGGCTGCGGCTGCGGGGCGGGTCCACGCCCAGCTTCTCACACTCACCTGCCTCCCCCGGGGGCCCCCGCGCCGGCTCCCGCGGCCCCGCCGCTGCCAGCTCCAGTTCCCGGCCGCAGCGCCATCTTGCTCCGGGCCTGCCTCCGCCTCCGCCGCCGCCGCCGCTGCCACTGCCGCCGCCACCTTACGAGCAGCTGTCAGCGGAAGACAGCCACTTCCGGGGCAAACGCCAGACCCTACCTCGCCGCAGACCGGGCGACGGGGCGGGGCCGGAGGCCCACGTGACCCCCGAGGCCGGGAGAGGGGTGGTGCGCTCTGCTCACGTGACCCAGCCGCCGCTAGGGGGTCCTCCAGGTGCAATTCTAGTTCTGGGACTGATCGGGGCGGTCTTGTGCTCAGCTCCCGGGGAGCTGATTCATTCTCTGGCAAGGCTGTTTGGAGAGCCCAGCTGGCGGCAAAGCTGCAAGGCGTCGTCGTCCCTCCGTTGGAAAAATCATAATCTTGGTCAGTGGGAAGAGCAGATTGAGTCCTGTTTTTTAAACTAGATGGTGGGTACACGGTGTTCTCTCATTGTTATTCTTTGCACATAAAGAATAGAAGGATCCAGCGCTCTCCATTTCCTCCCTGGAACTCGGCAGCTTTCTTTTGATACCCACCCCCAAAGCTTAAGGTATTTGAAATTTCATTTAGTAAAACAACAAACCCCAATCCACATATAAAACCTCCAGGGTGCATAACTCTTGTTTGGTTCTGCCATCGTGCCACCCAGTAATCCATTTTTCCTACCCAGGTATGCCTCACAGATACAGTGGTTGGGTGCAGACCACCGCAATAAAGAGTATGGCAATAAAGTGAGTAGTAATCTTTTCGCTGGTGCAAGGTGTTGCCTTCAATTTATATTTTTTAAAAACCGCAACAACTGTGAAGACAGTAAAGCGAAGCACAGTAAAACAAGGTATGCATGTGGCGAAACTGGTGTCAGTCCATAACTATTATTTTTTTTTTATATATATATTTTTTAAATATATATTTCTTTATTGATTTAAGAGAGGAAGGGAGAGGAAGAGATAGAAACATCAATGATGAGAGAGAATCATTGATTGGCTGACTTCTGCACGGCCCCTACTGGGGATCAAGCCCACAACCCGGGCATGTGCCCTTGGCCGGAATCGAACCCGGGACCCTTCAGTCCGCAGGCCGATGCTCTATCCACTGAGCCAAACCGGCTAGGGCTCATAACTATTATTAACCTGACCATATTTTTACCGCGATTTTTCTTAGTCAAACTACTTTAAGTAAAATAAAGTCAAATATAAACTTTTTCAAGTCCTCAGGCAGTTTGCTTACTAGCAAGTAATAGATTAATTATAATTATCTTTCACTCGTCTCAAGGCTTTTACAGGTACATAACTTGTAATCTTATTGTTTATTGGGCACAAATCACTGGTCAGGAACTTTACTGTATTTTTTGAAATCCCCAGTGTCCCTAAAAGTTATTGGCATTTCACAGATAGGAAAACCAAGGTTAAAAGTAGTAATTTACTTAAGTTATACAGCTGCAAAGCAGCAGGACTGGGATTCAAAACCTGGTGTTTGACTTCAAGAAGTCCTTGCTCATTTCACTAGAGCCAACTATCCAATTATCATGCATTCTTTTTTCATAAATTGTTTACGAATGTCATTCCTTGTGTAGCAGATTACTTCCAACTGATATAAAGGTGTTAAATTCAGTATTAATCCATTGACAAACCAAGGTGATTATAGGTTTATGTAACTTTTATTTAAGGTTGGGTGGTTACACACTAAATACTGAAGAGGAAGTCAAATGAAAGTATATCAAGGGTCACAGATGTGGTATCTGCCTGAATACTTTGTTTTCTTTTGCCTATAGATTCTTATATCTGCAAGACTCAGCTCAGGATATCAGCCTTCATGGCATTTCCAGTATGGGTTAGATACCCTCCTGTGATTCCTTATGTCTAACATAGCATATGCCACACTATTTGTTCCTTTATTTTATCGCTAACCACTACACTGGAAGGCAGGGATTGTTATCAAGCCTGTATTCTGAACCAAATATGTTTAAGGAATATTTGTTGTGAATTTACATTTGGCACAGTGTTAGGTACTTCTAACCTTGAGACATAATTAGTATTACCCCCAATTCCATAAATGAAGAAAACTGAAGCTCTGAGAAATTAATGAACTTATTCAGTCATATAGCTGGCAAATGGGTGGCAGCAGTATACCTATCTTCAGAATACAGAATCGACCTGTTAGAACACAGAAAATCACATTTGTATTGTTTGCACCTTGTAGTAATAGAGCTCCATTTACATAAATTCTGAAGGTGAACAATTTTTTGTCCATCTAAAATATTCCAGTTGGGAGCCTACCTGTACTGACTCAAGTAAAAGGCAAAGAATAAAGGAAATGCTTCTGCTGGTCTTTCAATTCCTTCAGTCTTCTGATGGCACTTTACTGTGACAGAAGTGGTGTTATAGGTACAGGCACCACGAGCTACTGTTTTCATGCAGGAATCTGTGCCAGATCTCATCTTGGTTTTGTCACAGGAGCAAGTATACTTGGCCTGCTGGTTGATTTCAATTTTCTTTACCATTTTCCTGAGGAAGGTGCCATAATGGGTCCCGTAGTTACCCATGATTCCGACTTTCTTGGTGTGTTTAGCCATGTGGCCACAAACTGGGTCAGAACCCAGAGAGGACTGAAGTTGATTTTTTATTCCACTGTACAAATCTATCAACAGAGAAAAATCTGCTAATGGTGAATAGTCTCCATCACTGTATAATCGTAATTCTTTACCTTTGGCTGAGACCTGCTTACAAAATGGATGAAGGGCCATGAAGTCTCAGGAAAGGTAAGATGTAAGAGAATGCAGCCACAGGTATATCAAGTAATAGGAACATTCTTCCTTATCAGGACAAAACTATCAGTTTTCGAGCAAAGTCCTCTTGAATGGAAAGAGACAGGAAAGAACATGGTTAAATGATGAAAAGTGAAGAAAGGGAGAAGCTGGACAACAATATGGTGATTACCAGAGGGAAAGTGGGTAGGGCGAGGTAGAGAGTAAAGAGGTGATAAATGGTGATGGAAGGAAACCTGACTTGGGGTAGTGAACACAATACAATATAGAGATGATATATAATAGAGCTGTACACCTGAAACCTATATAATTTTATTAACCAATGTCATTCCAATAAATTCTTTTTAAAAAATACATTTAAAATAAAAAGGGATAGGCTGACCATATTTTGTAGTTGCAACATTAAACAGGTAAAGTATGAGCTACCTTACCAATGAAATATATGAATATTTAATAGACCAAGGAATTTAAAATCCTAGAGAACTTGAACACCAGCCACAGAAGAGGCATCTTTTTGTTGTGGTTTACACCATAAAAGGCCATCAAGAAATAGTAAAATAAAGAGCAATAGCTTTCTTCTTGGTAGTCTGTGTCCATTCAAAAACAGAAACAAAAACAGACTGGGGTGTGGGGAGAGAGAGGAGACATTCAATTTCAAGGCTTTACTTTGAAAGTTTGGTTCCAAATGTCTCTCTACAACATACATCACACCTTCCTTTACACTTGAAAGCAAAAATCCTTACGAGTTCACCACATATGGGTATTTGATTTGTAGCGTAAGCTTTTGTTCTTCTATAAGAAGTATCTCTCTGGAGCCAAACCACAGAAATGTCAATGAATGTGATTTTCATCGTGTAATCATTTAAAAGTTTGACATGATGCACTGAAAGTTCATGATCATTTTTCACCAGTCCCATGTTCTTGTAGTTGACTACAGGTGATTTTAAGATGAAGTATTCCATGTAAACAACATTCATGTTGAGATCATAAAATGATGTTTCTGATACAGCTTTTTTAAAAATATTTTTTTAGCTTTTGTCTTCAAGAGATACTTTCTTCTTGCTGTTCTGACCAGTGACTTTTTTCCTGTGACAAGAAAAGCTGAATCAGAAATTCTAGGTATATGTACTTTCCAAAAGTCTACCAGTTTAATAAACATTGACTGAAACCTACTATATAATCAAATATATGAGGCACTGGGAACACAATGATGCATTAGGTCAGTGGTTGCCCAACCTTTTGGACCTCACGGACCACCAGTGGTCCACACACCACTGGTTGGTGACTGCTGCATTAGGTCACTGCTCTTTAGAAAACCACAATCACCTAAGTGAGACAGAAAGGTCACAATAAACTATACTATACTACAATCCTATATAATAAAAGCGTAATATGCAAATTGATCAAACGGTGGAATGACCAGTTGCTATGACGCGCACTGACCACCAGAGGGTACCAGGTGTGGGCAAACTTTTTGACTCGAGGGCCACAATGGGTTCTTAAACTGGACCGGAGGGCCAGAACAAAAGCATGGATGGAGTGTTTGTGTGAACTAATATAAATTCAAAGTAAACATCATTACATAAAAGGGTACGGTCTTTTTTTTTTTTTTTAGTTTTATTCATTTCAAACGGGCTGGATCCAGCCCGTGGGCCGTAGTTTGCCCATGGCTGGGGTAGACGCTCAATGCAGGAGGTGCCTCCTGGTGGTCAGTGCGTGCAGCGGCAGTGCGGGGAGCCTCTCCTGCCTCCGCTGCAGGCGGGCGGTTAGGAGGGGTCCCGGACTGCAAGAGCCCCAGATTGCGAGAGGGATGTCTGACCTCCAGCTTAGGCCCGTCCCCCGCGCCCTCCCCCCCCGCCCCCCGCACAAATCCCATGTACCAGGCCTCCAGTATGGTATAAAAGACAGATTCTGATCCTGACCTAATAGTAAGAGTTCACAAGTGCTATTACTGTTATAAGTGCCTTATAGGTTATCATCTTGGATAATCTTCCTAATTTATGAAGAAGATTCTCTTATCCTCATTTTACAGATGAGGAAAATTAAGTAGAGTGGCTGGACAACTTGCTGATCATCACACACTGGTAAACCCAACAGTCTGATTTTAGAGTCTGGTGAATGCCTTCAACTAAATGTTAACACAGGAAAAGGAAGTGAGTTTTGAGAAAATAATCAATGTTTGCATATCATAGTATAGTAATGCAAAGTTCTCAGGTGTGTATTAACGAATTTAATCTGCAGTCAATCCCCAGTGGCAGAGTTTGTATTATTTTCAGGTTGAGAAGCTGGGACTGAAGATATGGCCGGAAGCGTTATCAGCATAGAGGTATGAGCTGAGGCTACAGGTGTGGATAGCATCATTAAAGGAACACCTACATTGAAAAACTAAGCTAGAGTCAGATCAGTTCTTGTTTGTGGGCTATGTTAAGAAGTATGGCCTTGAGGCACGCTCTCCCTCTCAGGAGCACACAGGCACCTTTCCCTTCTCCCTCTTCTTCCCCTTCCAGGTACATTACCTTTGCTTTTCTCTCTCCTAAGCACCAAGGGCCCTTCTTTAGCCTTTGTAACTTGTTTCTTGAACCTACGCAGCTCAGCCGGCTCACTTCTACTACTTCTGTTTAACTTTCTAAATGAACTTTCTCTTTTAATTTGAAAAAAAAAATTAAAAAGTATGGCCTTTAATTTAATTGTAAAGAGCATCTTAAGTGTCTAAAGTGACAATATTTATACCGAGTGTCCTCAAAATCTTAGTGCATCTTTAAGTTTTAATAACTTCAAAAGCATAAATGCTACAAACAGACAAAAATCAACATTTAATTAAGATATTGATTTTTCTTATTAAAATCATAATAGTCACCATCTTATGCTCTAAGTTAATTTTCAACCGTTGTAAAAAGTTTCATCAGCTGCTGCTCAATGCCTAAAATTGCATTTGCAACCCTAGCTTTAACCTCACCCAAAGAACAAGGTTCTAATGCCCACTAAAAAGAAAAAGTCTAACGAGAGAGATTAGGTGGCCAAAAAGATAAAATCTGAGACACATTAGATTGACAAAGCAGAATGACCTCCTCTACCAGTCCACTAGTCTAAATGTCACCCAGAAAACTGCTGCCACAAAAAATTTAAAAACCTATTAAGAACTCACAAAACGAAGTACAAGTTAAGAAGATTACTTTTTCAAGGATTACTTTTCCCAAGGGATTAAAGCTTAAAACTCGCTGAAACTTTGGAACACACTGTACTCTCTATATACTTGAACTGAACATTATTTCCCACAATACAAAATGTCAGGTAAGATTCTTGTTCCACTTAGAAGGAAAGTGCATTCCAGTGTCTCTGTTCACCTTGTTCCTTCTATATGCCTAAATTTTACCTATCCTTAAAGATCGGTGTACTTCCTTGAAACTTTCTCGGACTACACTAATCCACAACAAATTTCCCTTCTCTAAACTTCTATTTTATTTAAAATTTATTCTCTATTTTTTTCCCTGCATACTAACTTCGGAAACAAGTCTCATCGTATACATTTGTATAAACTACCTCCATCAAGTACCAGCAAGATAATAGATACTCAGTAAATGCCTACACTTCATGTGTAATATATATTAACGGGTACTAGTAAAATTTGAAGAGTGTCGTTTTCCATAAATAGTGGAAATACTAGTACTGTTCAGAATATATTAGCCTACTCCTATCAAAACATGTTGCTTCCTAGCAATTTTGTATGTATGCTAAAAAAACACACCTATCCTTAAAACTCATTCAATGCAGCCATACTACTACAAATTTTTTTAACCAAGTCATACTTTTTATAGGTTTTACAATGTGCTTCAGCATAAGTCTAAGATTATATAAAATCCTGCCCAGAATATAGAGCTTCAAGGAAGATTCCATTAATGTGAGTCCTAACTATTGGCCTCAGTAGCATGCCCTGATGCAAGATGGATGGTGGGCAATGAAATTCTAATTTATAGTAAATTGAAATCATGTTTTCAGAACTGGAAAAAAACAGATCCAAGACTGAATCATCCAAACTCCCAAATCATTCCCCCAACCTAAGATATATTACTTTTATTACAACCTATAACAGACTGTAAACCTATTAATACTACCTCTAAAAAGCTTATCCTAAGTAAAAGTAATGCCTACTATAATTATATTATGAAAACAACCAGTTAATTTTCTCACCATTTACTTACCGTTTATCCTTAGCCTTTTCTAAGAAGTATTTTGGAGTTGTACTAATGCTCTCCCTTTGCAATGGCTTCTTAATCATTTTTTTCTTTTGTTTGCTGAAAGTTACAAAGAGAGGAAAGAACTAAATGAAGTGTAACTTAATTTAAAAGTTAAAGCTAAAACTAATTTTGATTCTTGTCACAAAGTTCATTTTTTATCTGCTCACTGATTTATCCACACTTGTATCCACTTTATATACTAGATTACCTAATAGCATTTACAGAGGTAACCAAAAGGGATGGTAAATTCAATCCATTTTAAAAGGCAGTGATTATGGTTAAAATATGTCCCATGTCAGCCTTATATTCTGTGCCAATAAGCATTAGAGTGTGATTTTGGCCAATTAACTGCTTTTTACCAGTTTTATGAACTAAAACAAAATCCAAATATATTTCACTCATATTGAGTAATTTTTTTAAAAAGTCTAAATACTTAAAATTTCAAGGATGAGAAAACTAGCAAGGTTTAAAAAACATACAGTATTCACAAAAATTTTACAAGGAAAATTTTTATCATAAATGTTCTAAAAGTTAATAGTATTGTTAAAACTATGTGTAAGAATGTGAAAGCAAGAATGTATATGCAAAGACAGAAAGAGAGAAGGTCTGGTAAATTCAAGACTGTACCTTAATAGTTTTTGGAAACCTTTTATGTATTCTGGAACAGGACATCCGGCCTGCTGTATAACATTGGCAACACTGAAAAAGGTAGCCATTAACATAAATTTGTATCTTATCAAACAAATGTTTATGAACTTGCACCCTCTGCACAATATAAGAGGAACTAAAGCTATACAAGCAAGAAAATAATCCGGTATTTTAATGTATTATCAATTACCATCAGATATAATCACGTTGGATTACTAACGGAATGTCTGCTGGACTAAAATCAATGATTGATGCATAATTTTAGACAGCAGCTATTTCTGCTCAACATTTATTTTATCAAGCCCTAAAAAGCCTCTAAGCTCAACCTTAGATGAGAAACTGACTGAAGCCAGAGTCAGGCTTAAATCTATTAAATGATAGTACTTATTATGGGTTTTTCATGTATAGTAACTTATTCAATCTTCACAACAACCCTTTTAGTATTATCATTATCCCCATTTCTCAGATGAAAAATGGAGGTGCATAGTTACACTGATATGGGGGGTCATCAAATTCACATGCTTGGAGTTGCTGAGGAAACTTTAGGTGAATCTAGGTGGTTGGAATACATACTGCCTTACACATGCACATGTGAAAGTCTGCTCAAAGCAAAACCAAGGCTTTCAGAGCCACGGCTCAGAAGGCACAAATCAAAATCTTTGCCAAAACAGATAAACTCAAAGTACAAACTGCTTTCAGCCACAACTCAATTTTTTTTTTTTTTTTTAGAGTGGAAGAGAGGGAAAGACAGAGAAATATCGATGTGAGATAAACACATCAATTGGTTGCCTCCAACTAGGGCCCAGGCCGGGAAGGAGCCTGCAACCAAAGTATGTGCCCCTGACCGGAATTGAACCTGGGACCCTTCAGTCCTCAGACCATTGCTTTATCCACTGAGCCAAACCAGTTAGGGCCACAACTCAATTTCAACTGTTAGAAATGTGATGTGTTACTGATTATCATCAGGCTAAATTTTCTGCAGGCAGCCAAAATGTAGGAAACTCAACCTCTATATTAGTATCTATAATAGGCTAAATTAAAATCCATGATTCTAAAATTATATCTACCATATGTTATCCAGGCCTCAAGGGGCTACAATTGAATAATATTGGCGTGTGCTCCTGCGACTAAATATAAAACTTTATCTGCCCCTAAGAGTAATGGGAAGGATGCACTATAGTAAGAATCTTGATGGGGCTAAAGAGACTGGGGTTAATTTTAAACTATTACTCATTCAAAAACCATAATATTACATTGTAAATAATTTCAACTGGTGGCTATTGGGAGAATTCTGAGTTATGAGAATTTTGGAATATTTGTTGTTATTAACAAACTAGAGGGCTGGTGCACGAAATTCATGCACAGGTGGGATCCCTAGGCCTAACTGGCGACCAGGGCTGATTGGGGCCAGGCCGGAGAGGAGGCAATGGTCACCGGGCTGGGCGCAGAAGGAACAAATGCCAGCTGCCGATGCCACCATCGTCTGTGCCCCACAACCACAGTTCCCTGCCTCCCCCCCCCCTTCCCCTCACTATGGTGCCACCACCGCAGCAGGCAGACGGTGAGTTGATTGGGGCCTGCCGGCTGGGGGGAGGGACATGGCACGGGAGGTTGGCCACCGGCCCTTGGCAAAGGGGCTGCATCTGCCATCACCCATCCCTGGTTCCCCATCCCAGCCCAGCGGCCTGCCAGCTGTGGGGAGCGACCACAGGAGGTTGGACAGTCGAGGGAGGTTGGCTGTGGGAGTGCACTGACCACCACAGGGCAGCACTTGCATTAAGCATCTGCCCCCTGGTGGTCAGTGCACATCATAACAACTGGTTGTTCTGGTCATTCCGATTGCTTAGGCTTTTATATATATAGACAATAATTGAAAGGCAAAAATAAGGCCTTTTGGTCATTTTTCCTTTTCTCATTGCTAAAATTTAGTTGACTACTATAGCAGAATTTTGGACAAAGATGTTTTGTAATTATCTGTTAACTGTGTATACATATAAGAATAATGAATCAACGTTGCCAACTTAACACGAAGTTATTTTTCCTAATTTACCTTCTTAATAATGGTTTATCATCTTCAGTGAAAAATGTAACAGCTTTTCCTTTATGCCCTGCTCTTCCAGTTCGACCTAAGAAAAGCCAGACCATTAAAAAACACTTTTTTGGGGAAAAGAGACATTCCAAATTCACATATAAAAGTGGATTTTTCACAGCACTAAAAAACTGATCATGTTTGTAGGGAATAGCACAGGTGCTAAAATGGATGAGTGTGGAGGCAGGGGACAACTCACCGATCCTATGGATATATTCCACTGAGCTTGTTGGAAAGTCATAGTTGATCACCAAGTTCACACCTTTAAAATCAATCCCTCTGGCTAGCAAGGCTGTACAAATAAGGACCCAGATTTTTCCTGCTCGGAAGCTTTGGACTGTGTTATCTCTCTGGTGAATAGAACATATAGTAAATGTTTTAGTACCACTCTAGGAATGGAAAACATTTTTAAAATTTAGTTATCATTTTGAGAGTATACATCTGACTTTACCTGTTCCTGTGTTCTGTCTGCATGAATAACATCCACATTAATACCTTCATATATGAGCTCATGAAAAAGTTCTTTAGCCCTTTCAATGGACTGAACAAAAACAAGAACAGGTGGATTGAAACCCTAAAAAGAAATGCAATAATCAGTACACATAACCCATAATTAAGAATATAATCACAGCACCTTATACAATTTTAGTTCATAAAAGAATCCAGTTCAATGTAGTGTACTTTCATTGCCAAATTTCTAGGACCAGTGGTCTAATCTGCCTACCTTCCTCATCATCCCTTCTCTATAATGACTTCTTTCCACCAATTTGAACTGTACTCTCCATCTTGAAAATTCCAATGATCTTGTCTAATTAACCCCCTTTACCTTTCTATAGCAATGGATTCCTACTGCTTGAAATAATAATCTCTCGGCCTCTGTGCCTCAGAACTTTTTTGATTCTACTTAAAATGTAATGACTGTGTTTTTAATTCATTATCTATCTTAACTGTGGGTATTCCCCGAAAGCTCAGTTCTTGGTTCTCAGTTCTCTCAATATAATATTTATCTTATTAAAGTCTCAGTTATAAACTACCAGCTCTAAGCAAATGATTTTTACATTTATATCATACTCTGCCTCTCTCTAAACCAACTTTGTATATTTTCAACTGTCTATATTAGGGCTTAATCTTTTTATTTTGGTTCATACAACTTTCAGAATCTAATGAAAGCAATGAAACTTTTTAAAAAATATATATTTTATTGATTTTTTACAGAGAGGAAGGGAGAGGGATAGAGAGTTAGAAACATCGATCAGCTGCCTCCTGCACACTCCCTACTGGGGACGTGCCCGCAACCAAGGTACATACCCTTGACCGGAATCGAACCTGGGACCTTTGAGTCCGCAGGCTGACGCTCTATCTACTGAGCCAAACCTGTTAGGGCCAATGAAACTTTCTAATACGCAACCACACATTTACACAAAATCTAACATGATTTCAGAATGTTCACAAATCTAAAGCTCATGTATAATCCTATGTATCTGTGAAAAACTTTGTATTTCCTATTGCTAAATGATACCCTTAAGAATATTTTTAAAACTAACACATGGCATTTATTATTTGCCACCCACTATTATAAGTACTATATGTGTATTAACTCATTAATACTGAAACAACTGTAAGAGATAGATACTATTACCCCCATTTTACAGATGAGGAAACTGGGGAACAGAGCTTAATTTGCCTAAAGCTAAGATTTCAATCCAGGTAGTCTGGCTCCAGAGTCAACGCTCTTAACCGCTCCTGTCGTCACCAGGTACTTGCAAACACCTTTCCTGTTCATCCTCCAACTACTGTTAACCCTCCACTAAGGCTCTCACATTTATTTATTTATTTCTTATGTCTAACCAGCCTAACTTAATAGCCTGCTAATTGGTTTACTTTCAATCTCTTTTCATTACCATCCACCTTATATACCACTGTTTAATTTTCCTTAAAAATTATGTGGCCACATTCAACAATGTTCAGTGGTTTCTCTTAACTTGACCCTAACTCTCCTGTCCAAACTGATTATCTTTAATTCCACTATAAATGTTCTCCTTAGGTAACTTCATTAGTCTCCAAACACATTCAATGTATTCAGCTCCACCTCTGAGACTTTACAACTGCTCCCCCTGCCACTAATACTTCACTTTTTAATCCCACAAATCCTTCAAGGCCCAGATTAGTAGCATTTTCCCCCAACCAATTCAATTCACCCTTATGGCCCCATTATAACTATATGAATATTTAAGAAAAGCACTCTATAACCTTTTATGGCACTTTATCACAAACTATCTTACACAAGTGTCTGTATTTTAGCTCCTAAAGAAGACTAAACTCTAGGGACAGAGCTTAGGATTTATATTTCAATAGCCTCCCCCCAACCCTTCAGTATGTAGCCTTTTAACTATGGCTTCTATTCAGTATTTACTGAAGGGATACAAACAGAAAATTGTCCTACTCATTCTACAATGCCCCAGTTCAATAAGAAAGCAGGAGAGAGACGAAACTGGTTTGGCTCAGTGGATAGAGCGTCAGCCTGCGGACTGAGAGGTCCCGGGTTCGATTCTGGTCAAGGGCATGTACCTGGGTTGCGGGCACATCCCCGGGGATGTGCAAGAGGCAGCTGATCGATGTTTCTCTCTCATCGATGTTTCTAACTCTCTCTATCTCTCTCCCTTCCTCTCTGTGAAAAATCAATAAAATATATTTAAAAAAAGAAAGCAGCAGAGGGACTGGGGAAGGGGACAAGAGATGCAGAGGGCCGATACATATGCAGATGTGGAAAAAGGCTTTCAGGGCATCAGGTAGGTCTTTTCCTAGCTTACCCTGAGCTGGGAATAGGAAGCTTACTATATTTGAACGGTGGAACCTCTCCACCTTGGGAGAAGAGCTGGCCCAAAGTACTTAACAATTTACCACTGGATTAGTAAATATGATATAGGTATAGTGCTCAGCCTCCCACTAATAATATAAGGCTTAGTGAATTTTATCAAAAAGTTTATTTAGAAATATACCTTTTTAATAAGTTCTCTCATGGCTAGAAGTTTTCCCGTTTCAGATCCAACAAAGAGAAGTTCTTGTTCTACAGTCTCTACTGCAGAATTCCTGAGAAGAAAACATACCTTATAGTATGCAAGAGCCAATTTTTGGTTCCCTCCACCTGAAATTCCAAGTAAATGAAACAAACACCCCCCCCCCCCCCAAACTGGGATAATGCAGAACAATTACCTTGCTCCAATGGACACAGTAATGACATTGTCCAGGTTGAGTTTGCACCACTGTTCAACATCATATGCAAAAGTTGCACTGAACATAGCTCTTCTGACCTTGTGGGATGTGCAGGCCAGAAAAATAGAAGCCAGCTGGTCTCTGAACCCAGTTTTGCCATCTTCAAACAGTTTATCTGATTCATCTACTACCAGCCATTCAACACTAAGAAATAACAAGACAACTTGTGGGTATTAAACTTGAAGATCCAAGACATTTCACTAAATTGTGAGGACACATGAAGAAGTGAAACCATAATGCTGCTTCTCAGACCCACATACCATTATCACAAAAAGGCACAAGAAAAATAAGCAGGGAAAGGTAAAGTAAGATAAACATAAATTAATGTAACTATTCCATTAGCCTCCAAGATATGAAGTTCCATTAGCAAAAAACAGAGATCCACATAAACCTGATAAACTCCATCACCACTGCTGAAAATCTAGGGGAATTCTGTGCTAACTGCTTATCAGAATCTGTGACTTTCTTCCAGACCAGATCGTTATTTTCCTGTAAGTTTAATGAACACCATTATTCTCAGTACCAACATTTACTGAAAGCTGGTAGGTAGTAAGCTCCAAAAGGCAACTATACAAGCAATTGAGGACAAAATATAATCAACTAAAAGAAAAGCACATATAAAAGACATTAAAATATCATCTGTACCTTGTTAAGTCTATTCCTGGAGGATCTCGTTTTAATAAATAGATTAGTCGATTTGGAGTAGTTACAAGAATATCTACAGAAAAAAACAAATGGTACAAATTGCAAAGACAAGTTTCATCCCTCTTAAACTAGAAAATTAAGGCTCCTGAATTTTCAGTTAATAACCTGAAGTGGGGAGAGGAGGCAGTGGTCATACTCACTACACCAACACAAAAGTTCTTCCCTGTCAGTAAGCTAACATACATATTTTTTTTATCCATCCTAGCACAAACTAGTATATCCCTTCTGTATTATATTTGATCTGTCCTCTCAGCTTCTAAGAGGCAAGAACACTATAATCCAACAGTTTGATTTTCAAACATGTTTTTCAAGGAAAATGCTTTTCTATCATTTTTTAAATCCTCACCTAAGGATATGTTTTTATTGATAACAGAGAGAGAGAGAAAGGGAGAAAAACATCGATGTAAGAGGGAAACATCAATCGATTGCCTCCCATACGCACCCTGGCACCCTGACCAGGTATCATATCTGCAACTTGGGTATGTGCCCTGATGGGAAATGGAACCCGAGACCTTTTGGTGTATGGGACGATGCTCCAACAAACTGAGCCACACTAGCCAGGCCAGGAAAATCCTTTAAATGGAATTTTACTCAGAAGCTCAAGATACAAGATAGGTAAAAAGTAGATCCTCTGACTTATAAAGGTAGGGATGTAAGCTATTCTTGTCGACAGAGTATTTCCATGGCATTTAGTATGAAGGAGGATTTCTCAACCCCAGCACATTGACGTTTTGGACCAGAAAACTCTTTTGTTGTAGCGGGCCGTCTTGTACATTGTAGGATGTTTAACAGCATCCCTGGCTTGTGCCCACTACAGATTAGTAGCACCATGCCCCAGGTGTGACAATTTAAAATGTCTCCAGATATTGCCAAATATCCCTGAAGGGTGAGGTGGGGGTGGAGGGCAAAATGCCTTTGGTTGAGAATCACTAGTATATATTTATATAACTACTGGATGGGAGCAGGGAGATCTCTTTTAGCTTCTCTAAAAATCAAATTATATGCATGACTACACTTTAAGAGCTCTTAGGTGTCAATTAGGATATTTGTAATTTCTAAATCCCCTTCATGCTCTACATCTCAAGCATGAATCCCTTACCAAATTTCTTAGATGATTTTGATCCAAATTTCTTGGCTGCAATTGCTGCTTTGTGGATCATGTGTATTCTGAATCCCATTCCCTCAGATATTTTTACTAACTCTCGATGAGTCTATAACAGAAAATGATAAAAAATTAAACCTGTACTAATGTGTAGATTAACCTGGAATCTCAGCAGTTTGGAACTTCAATGCCTAGTAAGATTCAGTAATTTCTTCAGGTCTAATAAACAATTTTCAACAGAAAAAAACAAAACTCATCCAATCTGTTACTTATTGTTTTTAGAATATAGTACTATTATAAAACTATTTCATACTTGGCATGTATTTCACATTAAGCACATGAAGGGTGGAGCATATAATTGTATAGTTTTACTTTCTCAAAAACTTAAATGAATTTTCATTTTTCTAGGTGAGAAAAATAAAGTTTAGAATGACTGTATATTACAGTAGCCTTTCAACTTCAAGGATCTTAGAGCACTCACCAAAGAAGTACAAATGTTAACATCATGTTTTAGAAAATATTTGCCCATATGCAATAAGACATAGAAATGGGCTCTGTACAGAATACCTGACCTGACAAAAGACACAGGCCTTATTCTTTTGAGACCTTTCTATTACCCCCAAATAAGAAAGATGACTGAAGCAAACACCAAAACATCCTCTTCAGAAGCGAGCGGTCATACCTGGCTGGCAAGTTCTCGTGTTGGTGATATAATCAGGGCTCTGAAGCCTTTATTTGTGGGTTGTTTCAGTTGCATTAAAATGGGAATGCTAAAAGCCAAAGTCTTTCCAGAACCAGTAGGAGCAGAAGCCAGAAGTTCTCGACCCTAAAAACAGAGTATATTAAATTAACCAGTGATCAAATAATGCTCTCAGCCATAAAAATATATGTGATAAATCCAATCATCCATGTTCTCATCACTCGTCTAACTTCTCTTATATTTGCTTTTCTAACATTATCTACCCCTGCCACCATCACCACAATGGAGTTTCTGAGCACTGCCACTGACATCCATTCGAACTGGGTAAAGAATGTGGATAACAAATCCAAAGATAATTTTCAACCTCAATTATTTCCATTATTTCAATTGTTCTTTCCCACTAAACTCTTTATCAATGCAAAATTACAAAACCAACATTTTGTGCTGATATCTGCACTGCTCACTCCCTGAGGAAGGTTTTAAATAAGTAACAAAATGGCTGAAAGAAAGAAAAAGTGGCCATAACCTGAGTGACAAAGCAATTAACAGGTGACAATCTTCAGTAACTCACTGTGATTTTTAAAGCTTTAAGCTAAAGTCATGACAGAAATAATCTTAAATGAAAATTAAAAGCAAAGTTACTATGCATCAACAACATAATTCAAATGTATTTTCATTTCAGTTCTCAAAGAAAATGAAGAGGACCAGTATGGTATCCTATAACTACCAGAAGTGAAGGCCATCTTGGTTTTGTAGGGGGAAAAGGTAGCTATCATCACTACCAAAAGAAACCTTAGAAAAACTTATTTTCCAAAAATCTAGGTTAACCCATACATCTATCAATAGGTGGATATGCAAATTGTGATACATTCATACAACAGATTATACTCAGTAACAAACTACTGATGTATGTAACATAGATGAGTCTCAAAAACAGTATGATAAGTGAAAGAAACCAGAAATGAAATAAAGAATGATTCCCCTTATATCACATGCTAGACTAGAAGAGGCAAATCTAATATATGGCAATAGCAATCAGAACAGTGGTTACCTCCGGGCAGGGGTGGAGTGAGGACAGAATGGAAAGGGCACAAGAGAATTTTCTGGGGCAATAAAAATGTTACATCTCGCCGAAACCGGTTTGGCTCAGTGGATAGAGCGTCGGCCTGAGGCCTGAAAGGTCCCAGGTTCGATTCCGGTCAAGGGCATGTACCTGGGTTGCGGGCACATCCCCAGTAGGAGATGTGCAGGAGGCAGCTGATCGATGTTTCTCTCTCATCAATGTTTCTAACTCTCTATCTCTCTCCCTTTCTCTCTGTAAAAAATCAATAAAATATATTAAAAAAAAAATGTTACATCTCTTTACTGGGGTGATGGTTACATAGGGTATGCATCATTGAAACTCACTAAACTGTACATTTAACTATGTATTTTATTGTATATAAAGCATACTTCAATAATAAAAAGTATTGAGGAAAAACCAGTCAGGTTAGTACAAAAATTCTGTATTTCTGAAATAGTTCCTGGAAATTATAAACTAAATCATGGATGAATAAACGGAACATAATCTCTCAGAGTGTTTACACTATAGTAAAAGGAAAAAAAAATATAATTAGTGCAATACATAGTAGTGTGAAGTATAAGACAAATGTTGCAAGAAAAAGAACACACTAAGTACCATGGAGACTTGGGTGATAGGGGAGCATTGGTAAATGAAAAAGATCACATCTAGCTGTAGTGATCAAGACAAGTTTCCAAAAGCACAGGTATTGGAGATGGACCTTAAAAGCAAGGTAAAGATTTCAACAGGGGGAGGAAATAAGGTAGAAAGGCAGATTTCAAAGGCAGAGAAAAGAGAATAAGCAAACACAGGAATGTCAGAGGCATTCTAGACCTTCATACTCACATGAAGCATAACTGGAATGGCTTGCATTTGGATTGGTGTAGGTGTTTGGAAACCTGAATCTAGAATGTTCTGAAGCAGTCGAGAATTGATTTTATATTCTTGTTCAAGTTGCTGAAATGTAGCAATTGGGTCAGGAAGATCAGTTCCCTGGATATGAATTTTGTGTTTATTCCGCAAGAAGTTTATCTGAAAAATGCAGTAAAGGAGTCACCATGGATATGGTAAAAAATATTGTCAGATGTTATAAAGCAACAGTGTAGGATAAGTTTTAGTAGAATATGAAACACTTTGCATTAATTTTTCATTAAAGTAAAACTCAAACTAATCAATCTTCCATCTTAACAAAACCATACTCACTTTTACCCACAGAGTAACCCAAGGGCAGTAAAAAGAGTCACTAGGTGAGAAATTGGGGCTAAGACATTTTTCTAACCTTTTCTTTTCTGATAAGCTCCAACTTTCCTGAAGTTAGTTTATTTTCTTTTTTAACTTTTTTATCTTCAATCTTTGCTTCCACAGATGATATCCACTGTATGGTAGAACCTTCTTCTTCTGAAATAATTTCTAAAATAATTTTTAATAAATTAAAAGATTTTAAGTGCAACATTCTAGGGTGTAGCAAACAGGCCATACCTTCACACAAACAAAAGAACAGTACTAGCTGTTGCAACTAGATAAAAGAAAGTATAGAAACTGGAAAGGAGAGGCAGGTTCTATATTGGTAAAAATCAGAGCTCTGAAGCTCATTCTCTTCCTTTTGTTAGTTACTTCAGCTGTGTAATATGTAGATGACTCTATACTTGAAAATAAGAGATTAGTTGGGAAACTATTTAAACAAAAAGAGGTTTCAATGAGGCAACCAGCTTTTTTTTTATATCCAAACACCAACCAGATAGAAAATAAATAGAATGAAAGAAATAATTTCACTTATTATTAGCAATGAACGCAACACAGTACTTAAGGACTATCCTATATAATAAAAGGGTAATATGCAAATTCACCAAACAGCGGAATGA